AGAGAGAGAGAGAGAGAGAGAGAGAGAGAGAGAGAGAGAAAGAGCAAACAAAAATACTCGTGAAAATTTCTCTTCTGCAGCGGTGCAACGAGCGCTTAACTTATGTCGGGGAGAGAAAAAAAAAGAAACCGGCTAACACAACATACAGAGAATCGCCAAGTAAACGATTTGTAGTTGGGCCTCTTATAACCTTCCGAACGAGACTAGATGGCCACGAGGCAGTGTGTGTATAGGTCGAGAGAGAGAAATGGAAAAAAAAGTTTCGTCGCACTGCTTCTGCCGGGCTTTACTGCAGCTCGGGTCAAAGCTTCGAGAGCGGAAATGAAGGTAGGAAATGGCGCTGGTAGCGGTCGAAGAACTAAAGGCCAGAGAGAGAAGCGTCTTGCCACTTATACAGCATTGTCGAATCGCTTATATATACCGCTTTCACCCTCAGGTCGTTATATGGCTCGTTTTTCCTCTAGGGTCCGGCTCTTTGCTATTGCTAGGGGAATTTTGTCTCGTCATTTGTCAACGGCCTGCCACGACGACTGCGGCATTTCACTCTCCTGTAAAATGAAAAAAGAGTAAAAGAAAAATACGTATATATGCCCGACTCATTTGTCGCGCGTCACTCAAGAAACTGCACTACTACTACTCGATTTCCAACTATTTCCCCCTCTTTTTTTTTCTTCGTTTTTATTTTTTCCCCGGCTCCTTGCGTTTCTTTTTTTTTGTACCAACTCAAACTTAATTTTCTATTAAGAACGGCATCTGTCTTCTTGCTGGAAAATCCACAGGGGAGGATCTATCTGACTCACAGATTTTCGCTCAAGTAAACTCCTGTATTGCACCTATAGATGTAGCATCCGAAAGAATTTGTGTACGCTGTCACCCATGAGATTCTTCAATTCGAGGATTGGTTTTGGCGCTCGTGGAAGAAGCGCAATATACGCCTGTAAGTATAATATTCACTGCGCGTATGGAAATACATACCAGTTTTTCGTTCTTGTACAGATAAAAAATAAAATTATGGTGTTAATGGATGGTAAGGAGGGTAATGCAATGAATAAGAGTCAACTTGTTTTTCTTTTAAAATTACGCAGTACTGATACATGAATATTTTAATTCAGAATCAAAACTGTATAATCAATAATTTATGTGTAATATATACATACGAATGATAAGACGATATGAATGCTAGATATGAAAGAATCGGCCTCCCAGCTCTTTTATCTTTTTTTGCACTCGTATAGAATCGCACACACATGCATGCGCGCAGGCATTCAATCTAATTTTCATTTTACTTGAAAATTTACATGGACTGGATATGTTTTATAAACTTACACGTGGGGTAACTAATTATACACAACACTCGGTACTCGTCGGATATGTACAGTCTCGCAACAACAATATAACAACGGCAATAACAACAATAATAGAAGCACATCCGTCGGCGCGGCTTCGCTCCAAAATTGATATGATACACTATTCACTTTCTCGCTTCACTTTAGAGAGGCGCGCGTCAAAATTCTCCTAATACCATCGTTAACGTTTCGTTCGTTTGTGCGCGCGGTGTTGAGTTTTGTGTATACTTGGATCGGCTGGCGCGTATAACACATTTGAAATCTCGCATTATATCGGGAGAGGACGGTTCACGGTTCGATATAATACATACACACACACAGTCACGTACTTTGGCGCACATATACACACATACCTATGTGCATGTATACGCACGCATCCGCTCTACAATTTGTATATAAATCTATATGTATAACATACGAATGCACAAAACGCGTGCCGCGATATTCGAAAATTAACATACACAATGCCGCGCGTTGACTCGTTAATAGAACACATATATAGTCAATAATAATTACAGCTTACTCATCATTTTCTGACTTTCGACTTTTACACACACGCGCACGATTGTTCGCTCGACGGCAGCTTTACAACGCAGTATCTATCTATATCTATATAATATTTCTCTCTCTCTCTCCCTTCGCGTATTTGCATTCATTACTGCACCTCGCGCATTACGTAACTATATATACATTGACTTGCTCTCTCACAAACATGCATCCACGCACAGCCGCACACATTATTACTTGCACGCCCTGTACGTATTCCTACATATATATACATTTCCATCGAGAGGGATACAAGTGGAATTTATACATTAGTGTGTAAAGAGCTCGTGAATTTCTCCCTCCCCCTTTCCCCGAGGAACATACAATTCCATTGAAATATACTATCGGCGCAGGTATACACGAATTTTCGTTTTTTACTTTTTAATTTATGCATCTGCCGCCCGCGCGCGCGTTTTCACAGTACACACAGGTGCATAATTATCAATCAGTGCAATCTCTTGAAGAGCGATATATTTCTTTCGCGATTGCGTTTCGAGGGTCGATTGGCTTTTTGGCCCCTCAGCAAAGCTCGAGCACACGGCCGCAGCGATGTACACGGCACAGTTCACGGTCTACTTCAAAATGAGTATTCGATAATGTGCTCTAAAAGTCGCTATTCCGAATCTCTCTCTCTCTCTCTGCTGCGCTTCGTTATAATCCGTATATGGTAATGAAGATAAAGAATAAAAAAAAGGAAGGAACGGCAGGAAATAACATCGGTGCGCGAAAAAGAGAGACTCCAAAGCGCGTGTTACCTTTCACACGGCACGAGCTTGCGAGCGAGCTTTTCTGACACTTATACAGGTAGATATTATATCGAGTCATCTTTTAACGAGACTACAGAGCTGGCGCGCGCGCGCGATACTCGATTTCACAGCTAAACGCGCGCGTGTTCCAGGAGAGGAGGGGCTCCTCCATTATATATACTATATCCAGTTCAGTCGAGATTTTCGACTTTGTATAGATATATAAATGAAAACGTCCTCTGCGACGACGACGACGACGACGTCGGGCTATATTTTATACAAAAAAATACTGAATGTATATAGGATGAAACGAGCGAGAAAGACATTTTCCCTTGTTTTTCCCCCCTGCTTCTGTGAAACTGTCGCAGAGGTTATTATCAGAATCCTTTATGCAGACTTATCGGACATTGTAATTGATGAGTGCTTCGCAGCGAAGCGAGCGAGCCAGAAACAATATCTAGGTACGCATTTTTAAATAAAAAAGTCCATCGCGCTTTACGTAGCTAACAAACGAGTGATATCATTACAGGGAATTTATTATATTGCACGATTTTCTGTATTTCTCTGCGGAATATACGATGAAATAATACATATTGATATGTTCGGACCAAGAATTATTCGTTTGAATCATTGCCATCGTTGATTAAATTAAAGTTATTGAGTCAGACCCGGCTAGCGTGTGATTCGCAAAATTTCAATTTATAAACGATTAATGCGAAATATTTCAGAATTTAGCAAGTCCCGTCCCAAATGTAGGCGGTAGAAAATTTTTTCTACCCAAAACTCGGTAATATTATTCGGCAGTGCTGAATTTCTTTTCATTAGATGAGAGTGAAAGGCAAAGGCATATTTGATATGCATACTAAGCTTCTAATTAGATACGAAACGCAACCAAACGCTCGAAGATATTTGCAATAATCATCTACCACAAAGGAGTGTATGAGTATTTCGGCATGTATACCGTTGCGTATAAAAAAGAAACTTGGTAATAGTCGTTGTAAGGTTGCAGCGTAATGTGCGGAGCGCACTTTCAATTCTCGGCCTTAATTAATCCGTATTGAACCTCCTGTCTCTCCTCTTTCACCCTATTTTTCACTCTCTCTCTCCCTCTCTTTCTCACGCTGAGGCACAAAAGTTCCGGGTATAGGCTGCCTCTGCAGCAGAACGTCGTCATCTTTGTCGTTCGTGACTACTTTCCAATGAGTTTTGCCGTCTTCCTCTTTCCGAACCTTTAACACCAACGCGCGCGACGTTTTCTTCATATCCATTGCAAAGTGCGACGGAGAAACGAGAGAGTGAGAGCGAGAGTGAGCGAGAGAGGGAGAGAGAGAGAGAGAGAAAATGGAAGCGCTCGTGCGTCGGCCAAAGAGGGTAGAAAGCGCTATTAAATTTTTTGTGATGAGACGGAAAGGAGATAGACGCAAGTAAGTCTTTGGTTTTGTTTTCTTCCTTATCTTTCCTCTATCTCTCTAGCTCTCTTTCTTAAATAGAGAGCAGTGAGTTTCTGGGATTACTCGAATTTTCGATGGCAGTAGTCGTAGTTTTCTGCAGCCTTTGTGCATTCTCGTAAAGTAAAGAAGGAATCTCTCTCAATCTCTTCCCCTCTCTCTCTCTCTCTCTCTCTCTCTCTCAGTTAAAACCTATATATGTATAGAAACGTACACATATAGAGTTTGAAGGCATAATCCGCAGAGAGAAAGAGGAGGAAAGACGAGCGCGTACCGATAGAGGTTAAACACGATTAGTTCGGCGGTTATACATGACTTTTCGTTGATTAAATCAAGTGCTCGATCGTTATACTCATAGCCGGCATCAGCAAGCACTTCAATCTGTCCGATTGCTATAGCTGCGCGGCGATAGTGTACCGCGGCATTTTCCTGCTTCTCGCTCTTTTTCGCCTTTTTACAATTTTCTTTGCGCGAAAAAAATTTGTTACACACTTACGGATTAGAATATACTCGTATTTATAGTAGTAGGTCTATGGCAATAATATTGTCATTCTTGTTATCTCGAATGAAAGAAAAAGAGAGAGAGAGAAACAAAAAACGTCAGTCCGTAGTTTTAATTCTTACTTATATGTTATTGTACGTATATCTAAACAATTTTATCTACACCTTCGTAAAAATCTCAACGTTCATCGGCCACTTTTATACAAACTTCATGTATTTATAGTTAGTGTACATTATTTATATACTTTTTCACGTTAAAAAGATCGAAATTAAAATACGAATAACAATGTCGCGTGCGCATAATGTCTATCCCACGCGCACGAGACTAATATGTATAAAAAATGTATATAAACACAGACACGCTCACATAAAAACTTATTTGCGCTAATGCTGACACACACATTTGTACGAGAGGACAGTGTATATATGTATATTCATATTCGTTTCACAACGTAATTGCAGCGCTAGTCCGGTCGCTGACAAAAGAGCATATTTTAAACACAGCTCTCGGGCAGCCTGTTGGCCATCAGTCGACGCTTTATGGCCTCGCCGTCGAGGCATTCGCCGGCGACCACTACGCAGGGTCCACCGGCGCTGTTGGACACGTTCGTGAGCGACGTCGCGTTCGGCGCCGCCTGGAGCTTTTGCATTATCAGCTGATGGTGATGGCTGCTCGTCGTCGAGGTCGTCGTCGTCGTGATGGCGCCGCCGCCCATCAGACTGCCCGAGGCGCTCCGACTCGGCAGCCTCAGCTCCGTCGGTCGGCCCTGGAACTTGTGACAGAGCTCGTCGATGCTCGGGGTCGGGCCCGGTGTCACCCATTGGCCGACGAGCGAGTAGCCGCTCTCGTTCCCGCCGATGCTGCCTGGATAGCTCGGTGGACTCACCTCCATTAGGTTTCCTTCTGCGAACATAAGACGTATCAAATTAGATGTAGCATGTTTGTGTAAGCTCATATCGTTTTTTTTGATTCTGTATAATTAATTCAAAAGATTTATGTTAAAAATTCCATCGAAAATCAATCAATTATTATTATGAAATGTAATTAAAGAAATTACTTCAATAAAACGAATGAAAATTAAATCCTTTGTGTTCTCTCGAGAATTCAGATTGAAATTTGATTATAGAATGAGCAGAGAAAAATGTATAAAAAATATCGAGTTCCATGTCAAAGAATACCCATAATTTTGTTCAAAAGGATTTGAAACATTAACTTTTTAGCCTTTCAAAAATGTTTAGAACTGAGCTCTTTGAAATAGGTGAGTTAGTTTATTTTCAAGAATGTTGTATGATTCATAAGTATGTGAAATTTTGCAGTCAACAGGTTTGAAATGCTGACGAATTTACTCATCAAAGGCCCATTTTTTATTTTTTCCCCGTTCTTTTTTTATTCGGGATATGAAGCACAGTTTTAAAATTCTCGGAATCTTCGCTCTTCATTATTTTTTAAAATGATATTTATAAAGTTTAAATTTATTTTTTATCCTAGCTTGCTCCCGACGTGATTCAGTCCATGTACACGTGCGTCGGTATTTAATCAAGTTCATTTATGAGATTCATCTGTCTGCCATAGGTATATAGTGTATTCAAAATTTAATATGAGTTCAAGCGAGCGTGAAAGAGAAAAATATAGTAAGCTGTATGAGCAATCTTTTCTCTCTCTCTCTCTTTTTCTCTCTCTCTCTCTCTCTCTCTCCCTCCCTCATGAATTCATGAGTTTCTCATGCTGCAAGCTGCGATATGAAAACAGACGCATCTGCGGGATGCATAAGCTTCTCGAAATTGTCCTTTTCTCGCAGGTTATTGCGGCCTTCTTACACATTTTTTCCCACTGATATCCAAGGTGCACATACATAAACTGAAGAATCTCGAGAGGAGAATACATTTTTCTCACGCGTGTAACTACCGACGGCCCCCGTGCACATGTGCTTTTTCAAAGATTGCGAGGAGGAAAATAATGCCGGAGAATGGTCAGAGACCAGGGGGTGAGCGCGAGGGTGTGTGTGCGATTGCGTATGCATGCATGTTATACGGGGTGTTTCTTTAAGCTATGTGTCCATACTATGAATTCATATCAGCTGTAGATTTTATAAGGGAGAATAATAAAAATACGAAATGAAAGCGAGACAGAGGGATATAAACACATGATTGTGGTGTATGATGCGCGCTCTACTCCGGGAACGTATATTTGATACTTTTCAAGATTTACGGGGATTTTCAATGAAATGACACTTATTTTTATTCATCTCTTTGATCGTAGCGCGCCGCGTTATTATCTGCACGCGGAAAATGTAAAAAACTATCGTTTAAATTTATCGTTATTTTTATTAAAAAAATAATTGCGAAATTATGAGAGTGAGTTTATATATTGCCTTGCGAAAGGAGCCAATGACCTGTAATTCCTTTTTTTTTTGGCAATGAAAGGATGGAAATTATCGATTGCCTATAAAAAGTATTCAGTCGCGCAATAAGCGAGGAAATTTCTCTCTTTACTTAGCGATAGCCGCAGATATAGAATATAGAAACTCATGCATAATTAATAAAGTTGGAGTGGGAAGTTAAATGAGACTTTTGCTCTTTCTGCCCTTGCCTGTATAGCTGCGGAATGACAAAATTAAAATAGTTCGAGACAACCGTATTGCCAAGGCCTCCTGGTCTGTGTTATATTATAATACGACGAGCAGTCGTTGTCTTTATACTCCCCTGGCGTCGACATATTAAACGGCGAGTCGCCAAGGCGATGGTAAATTCATCTAGCCATAAGAGCGCGAGTGTGTTAGTATATGCACGCGCGCGGCTGCCATGGGTTGTTGTCGCGCTGCCTCGGCATATACGAAGGTGTCGCGACGCCCGACGTGGACTCTACTATGTGCGCGGAATACGGGGGAATGGGAGCGAGAGAAAGCTGATATATACAAAGCATCTCGGGGGACAACTTACCAAACTTGTTGGTGGGTATAACGTCGGGATCGGTCTCCATGGTCTGCTGGTGCTGCAGCTGTATCTCGAGCTGATTCTGTAGCTGATACTGCTGGTTGTTGGAGTTGTGGTACTGGTGCGAGTGCTGCAGCTGATACTGATTATGCTGGTGAAGATGATGGGACGGGAAATCGCTGAGTTCCGCAGTCGCGGCGGCGGCGGCAGCCGACTTCTCGTGTCGCATGGTGGCCTGCGACGACGAGCCGGACGCCGTCATGCAGGCCGCCGACTTGTCGCTGCTGTCGGCCGTCACGCGCTCGCGCCTCGCGCGCACGATCAGCGCCAGCACGATCGATCCGAGGGTTATCAGGGCGCCGATCAGCACTCCCAGCAGCGGCGACAGGCCCATCCCGGCGTCCTGACCTGTAAACACACACACAAAGCGCATCGTTTTATTAGAGAATTCATCGTAATTATGTTCAAATTATAACAAGAGATCGTATCTCTCAAGACGAGACTTTTTGCTTTTATTTCGAAATAATTCTGCTACGTCTTACTGGAAATGATAATTAATTCCCTCGTTCGAAAGAAATAACGAGCTCGAAAATATTTTCATTCTTAGCGACTTAATTACAGAAGCATCAATCTTTTAATGTATACGCGCCAAGCATTCTATATACATAACAACTTATAAAAACACATTTATAACTTATAAATTCGAACTCGCAACGGAAAGAAGTTTTTGTTGAGTCAATGCCCAAGACTAGTAATGGAAAATCACCCTTAGCGCTGTAAGCTTGCCCTCTCCTGTGCTCTTTTCTCTCTCTCCTTTGTTCGATATGCACAGAGCTTTATACACAAACTAAACCATACTCTATCCTTTTTTTTCCTCGATGCAAAGTTCTAAGTTATGTACTTTTCATTAAAACTCTCTCGATAACGGTGTTTGAATATTCCTTCGGGCGATTTTTATGGAACGGAAGTAGTTGAAGAATCATTGCTTTACACATACATATTCAGATAAATATAATATTCTAATACTGATATAAATAAATGATTTGAATTTGTAGCAGTAAACATCCGACCAAAAAGTCAGTCGTACCACTAGTTGTGCATGCAAAAGCGAAAGAGAGAGAGAGAGAGGGATAGGCAGACGAAGTCGAGGGAGAGGGCGACACAATGAAACGATATAACTTTTGCGTCCGTTGAGTCGCAATTTCCTCGTGGCTGGCAGCAAATTTTCGCTTTGGCTCCAGCCAGGAAAGAGAGTGAGCGAGAGAGAAAGAGAGAGAGAGAGAGGAAGGCTTTTAGAATAAATAATTTTAGCGCGACGAGTTAATGAGAGAAACCCACCTGGTTAAGAGGTAAAAGTTGGCTGTCGCGGCTCTGCGTATATAGTAACGCGCGCGCGCGCGGGGCAGATTAAAGCGTTCTGGCGCTCGCTCGCTGCAGGGAGTTGTACTATTTTCGGCAGCTCCGGGGCCGGAGAGAGGCAGCAGCTATACAGAATTCCAGGGGCCAAGAGCGCTACTTATGCTCGTTTAGCCTAGGCTCTTTTTCTCTCATTACATCGCTACTCGCTCTCCTATGTACGCGTATACACACACATCTACGTCTATATATGGGACAAAGAAGTGCGAGGGAGAGAGTGAGAGAGAAGCAGAGAATGAGAGGGCAATATAAGCGCCACAGGCAAGCTGTTTTTGTCGGTATAATTAACAAAACTGCGCTTTCTTGCGCCGCCAGCCACCATCTTTCTCTCGACGAGCGCCAGCGCATAGCATACACTTCCTACTAAGCTTGGCGTTTGCGTCATATAATTTTCTTCCTCGTCCCCCCCGCTTCTCGCAGCAGCAGCAGCAGCTTCCCGCGCGTCGGCGTTGTTTATTTCGTTCGCGAAATATTAATGCGAGTCATCGTCCGCGCGCTTTATCGTCGCGCCGTATATAGTAAAAATTTGCGCGATCCTCCCAATGATTGTAACGCGCGGAACGTATACCATATACCGCAGAAATGCCTTCGCGCTGCACCTAAAAAATGCCAAGTATTTTGGACCTAATAAAAACTCAAGATATCAAATGCAAATTCTTTTTCCTCGGTGCGCGCCTTAACGGCGGGAGCGTGTAAAATTTACGCGCGCCAGCGGTGTACGTCTAAAATACAGAACGTAGTACGGTACAATTTCAAGACTCTTTATACTGTACAGGACTATATATACATGGGGAGCCTCGCGTGCACTTGCCAGTATCGCGTAGCTCATGGTATAGCTGGCGCTGGCGCTGCCACTACTGGCCTGGCTCTGCTTGGGGCCATGCGCGTATTTCAAGCTTGCGAGAAATGAGTGAGCGCGCGATGAGGCACGCGTAATACCCGTAAAACCCGAGTTTAATCAGCCGCTCCTTCGCCGAGTAGAGTACGAGCTCGCTGCCACGGCTCGCAGAATAGAGGAAGAGAGAGAGACAGCCATCCTCGTGTTCATAGCTGATATATACACGCGCGTCTTTCTCCCTTTCTCTCTCCCTATATATATGTTACGTGGATTGCGGGGCAATGAAGCCAGGAGCTGCTCGCTTACATCGAGTATTATACATTCAAGAGCAACAATGCGAGAGCACGAACGCTGGATATCTCAAGTTAACGCGCGTATTTTCGCGCGCCCGCACGTTGTTCCGCTCGCTTGGCTCGCCAACGTCTTGACGACTTGCGGCTATATTATATACTGTCCGCCCCCCGCGCAGCACAAATACGTAAACGGATGACAAAGAATCGACCGAACAGTTGCTGTGTCACTGCATAACGGAGTATACGGATGATCTCATTGTATTTGGCTCGAAGCCTAGCTCACAATGGACAGGAAAGATCATGCGGTGACAAGTGCGAATGACTAACCTAACGAAAAGTTATTATAAATTGAAAACTAGCTCGAGCTCGTGCGTATATAGCGCAGAGGGCTGCTGCTGCTGATGATGCGCTCTCCTCGGCGAGGAAAAATAAGATTAGTTTTTAATGAAAAATGATCGTTAGAAAGCAGCGCAAAGAGTAGGAAAAGCAAACAAAACTCAACGCTGCCGTGCGCGCGCGGGCGCGCGAGTTTGCAGCAACGCCTCTGGGCATCGTCGCGAGCTTGCGAGCGAGCGAGTCACTTCGAAATTAATACTTGCGCATGACGCGGGCACCCGACTCGAAGACTGCCAGAGAGAGAGAGAGAGAGACAGAGAGTGAGAGCAGAAAAGGGATGAAGAAAATAAGAAGCTAAGATGACAAGCAAACTACAGCAGCTCCGCTGCAAGCTAGAGTGCGGTGGAAAATAATTGAGAATGGAGAAACAGCAAGAAACATGCAGCAATGAGCTGTCGACAACTGTATTTTGTAGATTGTTTCGAAGTTTCCCTCACACCGCTCGTCTCCGGCAAATGATTGTGAGTTCGCGAAATTAATATCACAGCTATCATCTAATTCGACGTGGCTTTTGCGATGCGACGTCGAGATTCGTTCTGAGACGCCAACTCTAGCTTCTATTCGATTCGAGCATTCGGTGACTATTTCAAAGTACCGCCTCACATTTGTACTTTCTTCTTCTCAAAACTTGATAATTATCTTACAATATTGTTTTCCAGGATTCCGCTTCTGATTACAAGAAATTTTGATGTGAATTTTAGGATGCCCAATAAATTCATTACACCAATCATTTATTTTATAATCATATATTAGATTTGAGAATACGATTTTATCGATCTTACGATTGTGGTTAAAGTTGAACTGTATCGATTGGTGCGATAGATATTTCTTTTAATAAATGATGAAACGATTACAGCTAATAAAAAAATTTGATTTCAAATTTTTATTTAAAAATTTGTATGAAAATGTATTAGAACTACTGTTCGGTGCATCTCAAAGTTGTCACGAGCCCTCTTTGGTTGTAGCTAAGCTCTGCCTGAACAGAAGCTTTGACCGAGGATGAATGCGAATGAATAGCCTCGCTACCGAGAGACCCTGCATGCCATGACCATGTAATTGTAAACGAGTCCGCCAACATTGCTATAGCCGACATTCACCTTGCGGGCTCGTACTTGCGCGGGATCCATTCATTAGCGATCACTCTTTGGTTGCGCGAGCTTTTTCCATCGCACCGATGCGCATCTGCGCGCGAAGCGCTCACTATTGGATCAAGCCTTTTTGCTACATTTCTATCGAGTTCTTAAGAGTTGAAAATCGAGAAAGCAATTACCAAAGTTCGCGAACGCTTATCTTTTCGAAATAAAGTGCGATGGAGTCTCTTGTACCTCGAAAAATATATTGAAATATAAAATGTGCAATTACATACTTGATATAAATCGATTCTAAGAGCTCAAGTAAAATCATGTCTGTGCGAGCTTTGAACTATTATAAGAATGAATCTGCTGCTCTCTGATTTAATTTGAGATGTAAAAGACATCTGTACCGTCTGAGAAAGAAGCGAAACGATGATCTATCAAGATTGATAAGTAAAAAGCTTCGATTCCGTCAACCCCAGAACGTCACACTAAGAACTTCAATAATTCTTTATTTAATTAATCTAGAGTATTGGATATCAATTATAAAATATTAAATCAATTTATAAGGTTTTAAATGTTTAATTTTCGAAATTTGGCTGTTCTGCTCGTGTAATTTTAGAATAAATATGATGTGAGCATAGAAAGTGCATAAATATGACAGAGCATCTACTATTCATAAACTTTTTGTATTATTTTTAGAGCGATCTGAAAATTTATATAAACAATTGAAAAATAAAAATTCTACTTTGAGGGTTTGTTGGTCCATTAGCAGGCAATCGAGAAGTCCTAAGAGTTATAAGATCTTTATATTTCTTCATTAACTATAACAGTATCTAATTCTTCATTTCTAGGTAGTATTACTGTTGGTATGGTACAGCCCATATATACCATAATATATAGACGTACCACAAAGTTATACGCTCAACAAACAGGGTAGAAGTAGTTATTTCGCAGCTTAATCCTGTCGGTGTATATATTTCGTCTGGCCATTTAAAGTTATAATTTAAATCTTATTGTTACAAATGTAACAATGCAAACAACATTATATTATTGTTATACATATGAAAGCTCGCCTATTTACTCAAATGATGTACATATGCGCACATAAATAGAATAGAAAAGGCAATGCATAATATTTGGGCGAGAAAAAAAGCGTAGCTCGGGGGCATAAACGCCGCAGCTCTTTCCGCGGTTTCGAGCTCAAACAGCCGCCCGATATATATTGCGCTCTATATGATACGAAGCCAATCGCGTACGTGGCATGCAGCGCACAACTGAGAATGCCGGCTGCCGTGAATATTTGTGTGTTCGAGCGTGTGCGCGCGCGTGTGTGTGTGAGTGCGCGCGCGAGCGCAAAGCGGCGACTACTTTTTTTCAACACCCTATAGC